TTCTTGCCCGGAGAATCTCGTGGACAGAGGAGCCTGGCAGGCAGCAGTCCATAGGGTAACACGAAGTCGAACATGACTTAAGCGACTTAGCACGCACACACATATATAAGACATAGGGCTTCCCAAGTGGCACCAGCAGTAAATGCAGTTTACAGTAAATGCAGTAAATTGCCAATGCAGGAGACGCTGGAGACACAGGTTTGATCCCTGGGTTAGGAAGATACCTTGGGGAAGGGAATGGCTACCTACTCCAGTATTCTTGTCTGGAGAATCCCACGAACAGAGGAGCCTGGCGGGCTAAAGTTCATGGGGTCACAAAGAGTCGGACACGACTGAGTAACTAACTCACAATACCCATATAAGACATGAGAACTGCTTATGACAGAAGTGAAAAATGTTAGCCACAAAATTATATAGAAAGTATTTTCTTGAATGTGTATGTAAATAAATTATTTATACATGTATATTGAATGCTGTCAGTGTCATTCTCCTGCTCAAAACCCAAGGATGAACACCTGTTCACTGTTAGATTTAAGTCCTAAGTCCTCCCCACAGCATCTCCTACCTTATCTGTCTCACTCCCCGGCCTTCAGCTATACTACCCTCTTCTCTATTCCTAGAACCACCCAGCACAACCTCACAACTGGGGCTTTCTACCTACATTTTCCTGCCTGGAGTTTTCCTTCCTGTGGAGTGTGCACATAAGCTGCTCTCTGCCCAAGTGTCCTTGCCTTAGAAAGAACTTCTGAGTACCTTGTCTGCTATGTGTAGCACTTTCCACCTCTCTCTGCCCAACAAAATAATCTGGGGACTCTGTTATCTTCAACCAGCCAGGCTATACTCATTCTTAGCAAAGAAAACTCTCTGAGGATGGATTCTAGGCCATTAGGAACTTTTAAGAGGCTCCGGGGGTCAATGGAAGAACCACCACTTCTCTTAGTTTTTCTTAAAGTACCTCCGTGCTGAAATCACTTTGTATATTAATTAGTAGATTGTTTCTTGTCTGGTTCCCCCACTAGATTATAAGCTGCATATGGGCAGGAACTTTGTCTATTTTACTCACTGCATTATCCCCAACATCCAGAACAACATCAGGCACCTAGCAGGTGTTGAGTAATAGCAGGTCTATTGAATAACAGATTTTAATGAGTGAAAAATGATTACCTTGAGTTACTCTTACAGTTATCGGTGTGTTTTTTTTCTTTATCATACTTTTCTTAACTTCTCAAATTCTAATAGAATGTATTACTAATCAGAGCAAGAGAAATTACAGCTGAATTTTAATTCTGCCTTTGAAAAGCATGGTATATTTGAAGCACAGTGATTAGCATGTAATGGATACTCAGCAAATAGGGCTTTGGCTATGAAATCCCATTTTATATATGTTGTTGTCACCTTATAGAATACATATTACAACCAGAAATAAGCCATTTTTAAGTCTATGGGCTAGTCATTTTTTTTTAGTCATTCCTCCTCTCTTATAGTTCTGAGTATTGCTTTAAAGATACATTATACTCTCCTTGTAATGGCCAATCAATGTAAATATGAAACAAGTGAATAATTGAAAATGTTTCAATCTTTTGCAATGAAATCAATGCAAAGAGGGTACTCAATAAATGTAAAGAATAAGGCCATGTTAGCTGTTAATGCGTAACTACCATATAAAGTACCTTTTCCACAATGTACGTTGAAAGAATTATATACACATTGCTTCAAAGATAATTTAAAAGCAAAAATGTCAGAACATAGCAGTAATTCTCTTTTAGGAGGATAATTCTTTGCTTACTTTGGAAAACAATAACAATAGGATATTTAAGTATAAAATTGAAGATTTTACAATTAGTTTAAGCCAGTTGCTATATAAATTTGCTTATAAAAATAGTCATCAGTAAATGACCACCTTGAAATATATTAGTTTTAAATGCAGATAACATTTGTAAATGCTCGTCTTCTTTTGTAATATTTGAAAATTTTTCTAACGTACAGCCCTGACTTTAATGGAAAAAGTAGACTTTGTGCTAAGTCCCCAGTCTTTAAAAAAAAAAAAAAAAAAAGGCCAATGTAGACATGGCAGTATATTTTGTGCAGATTGAGAGTAGGCAAGCATATGGTTAGCATGGATCCCCCCCAAAGTAGTTACAGCACATAGGAAGCATAAATTGAGCACAGTGAAAATTTATTCTATTTTTAGCAGCTTCTCCTCACTGAAGTGGTCAAAGTCACAATTAATGTTTCACATACAGTGGATGAGCTGTATTACACAAGCCAGGTGCGACGTGATGGCAAAAGTGCACTTACCACCACACTTTCTCCATTAGAATTAAACCATTCTAAAGTTATGTGTGTCGGAAAATCACAGTAGCCCAGAGATAGAGAAGGGAATACTTATAATACACCTCCAATAACCTGAGGCTTGTCCTGCAGGCAGTTATGGGGCTTTCGACTTCCTTTGCCAAGTCACTATGATAACAGCAAAGCACAAACTTAAAAGGAAGTTTGCATCCTTACATCTGTTTGTAGCTGGACTACTATTAAATGCTTTGGTCTTCTTAATTCAGCATTAATTTTAAGTTTTATAGTAAATCTCTCTTTCAGTTTGAATCATTTGGCTATGATTTTCAGCAACTAAGAAATTTCTTTGAGTTAGTGATTCAGCTCACTTTTGGAAAAAACTTACCTAGTTTAAGTCTGTGAGGATTTTTTTGTCTGGGGCCCAACATCTGTAGCTGTGGATTATAGATTGTTTCTAAAATAATCTAAAATTGATGAATCGTTGCTCCTTCCATTGGGGCCCGACAAAAAGTAGCTCTGGCATTTCTTCTCCTTTTTGTGCTGTAAACTGTACATCACCTTTTTAATCTCTTGCCAGAAAAATGAATTCTTACCTACTTTAAGATTTTTATAAACTTAAATTTTACTTAGTGGTTAAAGAGTTTCTTTTACAAAGAATATATATCAAGTGCTATTTTGTGAACAAATTCATAAAATCATAATTATTCTTGTCAAGCTATTTTAAACTTAGCAGTATTCATAAATAGCCTTTTTCAGAAGAGTTGTGGTTTAAGATGTTTTTCCTATTAGTGAAGCATTCACAGGCAGTAATGTCTGAGCTCCTCACATTGCTTCAAATCAGGTATCTTCACTGTAAGGATTTCTGGGGAGTAAACTAATGGTGAGTGAACAAACATGTAGAATTTCCAAATATTGATCTAAATATTTTTAAACCTTTTCACTGTCCAGCCATTTGCTGTATAATAATCTCTCCACCATGTCACTGCTCTCACCTTTCTCATTCAGATGTGGTCTTTTTGCCTTTGACCTTTGTTTTGTCTTCAAAGAGCTTCCTAGCTGGTTCAAGTGGTAAGGAACCTACCTGCCAATGCAGGTAGACGATAGATGTGGATTCAATCCCTGGGTTGAGATGGGGTCGCTGTGCCCCACTCCAGTATTCTTGTCCTAAGAAGGGAGTTCCTTTCATTTCTTTGCTGAAGACAGGTTAAATGGTAGCTCAAAATTTACAACATTGTCATGGAGTTTAAGGCCAAATGAAATCTAAGCCCTGCCAGAGGGGTGGAACTTGCCAAAAGTGACCACAATCTGATCTCTTTGAGTTAGCTGCTAGAAAGTTCTGAAGACTGAGTGGCAGAGGAGATTCAAATCCGTGATGTTTCAGACTTAGTAGATCCTTAGCAAAGCACACTAGAGTAACATGTCTCAATATACACTCCTACTTGTCACTCAAGAAAGAGGATTCACAATGTTCAAGTAAGTTAGGGAACACGTTAAGTTATGCGAAAATGAACAGGGTTAGTTTTCTGCAGGACTTGTCAGAGCCTGTATTATGCTATTGTGCATTGTAAATTCCCAAGAAGGAAAAATGGCATATAATTTTCTGCAAACTTATCTTACTCCAGACTGCTATTTTTGTGAAGTGTGTCACAGAGATGGTGTTTGCAGAACTCACTTTAGTGAAAGCTGTCCTGGAAGTACTGCCAAACCCATAGTAAAAATGTATTTGGTTTCTGAATCAGATCCTCCCCTCCAATAATACAGCTTAACTGCATTTTAAGCTACTGGAAGTATAACTTACTGTTTTTGAGAGTTTTCCATCTTAGATACTAGATTGCATTTTTTTTCCATTCCGGGCTTTCATTTCTTTCAGTAGCCTATATTTCTCCTCTGCATATGTTTTACTAGTTGAAGCCTTCAGAAATAATGGCACTTGCAATGCATAGCTAGTCATCACAGAGAGAGAGGAAAGTATTAGATCCATTGATTTGAGGTTTAAAAAAAAATAGAGATTTAAAGAATTTTGTAGAATAGTATTCTAGCTGTATTTTGAAATTGTGGTTGACTACTTATGTTCTCCTAAATCAACCACTTAACTGCTTAAGAATCTTTTGAGGTAAAGCATAGGTAGGTTCGTATTTGAATAGTGAAGTCCGTAACAGCATGAATACATTTTCCAAACATCCACAGTTTGGGAGGCTTCTTTGCTAGATATATCTATCACCACCTAAAGGGGTTTAATCTAATGTGAATGTTGATATGAAAATATTTTTGCCTATCTACCTGAAATTTCACCCACAAATAGCCTTCACCCTCAGCATCTTTTCTAACCTAAAGATTGATTGATTTCTCAATACGTCAACTACTGATTGGTTGATATTCAGAACATAAATTGCCAATGAAATACACAGATACACACACAAGCATACATTTTGTAACAGAGAGTAGGCACGATAGTATGAATTCTATATAATATACATCCACATTTTCTTAACCTTTCTTAACTACATTTGATTTCTTTAAGTGTTATTGAAGTTACTTAATTTTCCCAAACTTAGGAAAAAATTCCAAACTGCTAGGAAAATTTAACCTGCAGTAATGCAAGTATAACAAGAATATAGAACTATATATTATTTGGTAAAATCTACTTGTAACAGGATTACTTGAAAGCACCCATGAGTTAAAACTGTTTTTATTAAAATCACATGGAAAGTGTGCAGAGAAATGGATACAAATGACACAGATTGAGATGGAATGAATGTTCTGCATTTATACACGAAGAGTACAAAATGAACACTTGACAAAGGGCAAATTTAGGAAACTGATGAACTGGCAGAAATCCGTTTTAGGAGTCCCTCCCATGATCCACCGGCCAAGAGAGAGAAACCTTTGCCTGAGGGGGCCTCTGACAGCCGCTCTGCCTCCTGCTCTTCATTCCACTGAAGCTCAGCCTTGGTTTCTTCTCTGGATTGGGTCTTGCTCTGGATTCTCAGGCCAGGACTTTGGCTGAGTGGGAAAAATATAAAGAACACTGGGACACTTTATAAATAACCCAGTCCCGTTTCTGCATCCTTTTACTCTCCCCACAGATTGAGTCCCACCAGCTGTGTCTTTCAGGTTGGGCTGAGTTACCCCTCCAGTCACCCCAGCTCCTCCAAACACCATAGACTTCTTCCAGTTTCTACCTGCATAACCTCCTGACAGCCATGAGCATCCCCTCCAGGAATCTGCTCTTGGACCTCCCTTGATTTCCAGCCTTCCCTTGAGGGTGTGGGTTTACTCGCTCAATCATGTCCAATTCTTTGCAACCCTCTGGACTGTTACCCACCAAGCTCCTCTGTAATTAGAGACACGTTTGGCTCCCAGCGACCCCAAATCCCACTGTTCCTGTTTTGACTGAAATGATGGCCATTATTAACTAGGAAACTCTTATCTCTGTCTATCTGTCTTTATATTCTTCCTTTCCCTTTTCAGTCTCCCTGGATTCCCGGACCTCTTCTACTCTGTTGAGCCTGTATCAGTCATTCACCTTCATACTTGAATAGTCTCTTACTTTTAATTCTACCAACTTCATGCTCTATGACCTCTGAGCCCTGTTTTCTGCTAGATAACTCATCAGCTTGGAACTTCGGTACCAATGGGTAATGTTGTGAAAGCAACTTTTACCTGATAGTTACTCAGTTAATTGATCAGTTATGTTATCTCTTTCCATATTTGTTTAACAAATTTACTGTTACTGTGGCAGAGTCAATAAAGGAGTTAGTATCCCCAAAAAGATACTACTTTTATTTTTTTTTATTGGAGTATAGTTGCTTTACAATGTTGTGTTAAATTCTGCTGTATGTATACATATATCCCCTCCCCTTGGGCCTTCTACCCACCTCCACACCCATCCCACCCATATAGATCATTATAGAGTACTGAACAAGAAGGTATTACTTTAAATCCAAGAGAGAAAATCTGTTTTCCTTCTCAATGAATCTTACTAGTGATTTTTGTAATGAAGAGCTCTGGGAGAAGCTCAAGAGAGACTTTAAGCCAAGGTAAATAGGTGTGTTAAAGGGAAGCATAGCCCCACTCCATCTTTCCCTCCTCCAGGTTAGGAGAATGCTTTAAAATCATTCTACAGACATTTGGTAAATGTAGTAGCAAGTGGTGCAGTTTCTATATTCCAAAGGAAACTTTAAACTTGATGTCTCCGATAACACACCAATACTTTAAAATATGAGAATCCCTTCCAGAAATGTAGTCACGCCAATGTTACTCACAGGTATGAAGACTTTTCATATAAAGAAGAAGAAAAGTAAAAATGGGAGGCAGAATATCCTGAATATTTAGTCCAAGCTTAAGAGTCATTTTGCCCACAATGAGTCCATTGTAACCAGACTGTCAATCACAATGCTACAGTGTGGAATAAAAATGCAGACCATCTTATGGAAGGATCTATAACCTTGCGGAGAATGGCAGAGAGACAAGTCAGCCAGTTACTAAGCAGAGGAGCCATAACACACACCAGGGCACTGATGTTCCCATGGGCGCTGCAGCCTGCCTGCCTGGGTTCGAGACTCAGTTCTGTCTGACATCGGGCACTTCACCACTCTTGGCTTCAGTTTTCTTATGTGTAAAAAGAGCTTAATAATAGAATTGGACGTGAGTTTGAGCAAACTCCAGAAAATAGTGAAGGATGGGGAAGCCTGGTGTCCTGCAGTCCGTGGGATCACAAAGATTTGGACACATCTGAGCAACTAAACAACAACCTCATGGGATTATTATGAGGATCAAGTGAGACAATAAAATTGCTTAGAATAAAATCAATGATACTTCCATTTTCAAACCTAAGTAATAAGTAAAATAAGCTTGCTTAGAATAATTCTTACTGTTGACATTGATCAAATCAAGGACATCTTGCCGGTCACGAGTTTGTGCTGTGGGAAGCCCCAAATCGAAGGCATTGGCCCTTCTCAGCACCTTTCAGGAGAGTGAAGGCAGGGCCTTTTTCACAGAAATGGCCCTGATGGAGCTTTGTGGAGGGGTGGAAAGAGAACAAGTCTTCTTCCTCTTGCCTCCATGCGTGGAGACCAGGTCGGCCCACACAGACCAGACACAGAGTCCTCTAGGGGACAAGCAGGGCTCCAGTGGGCCCTGAGAACAGAGATCCCACTGCTATGTAGTAGTGTTCCTCTGCCTCACTATATTCTCTGTGCTCAGATTCCCCTTGGGCTGGGGGGTCTGGAAGAATGCAGAGTTTAGTATTTGTTAGCACCCTGTCCTTCCATATGCTTTCCCTTTTTTCCTTACATCACTAAATCCCCACTCTCCCAAATTTTAATATAAAACCAAGGAGGCCTCAATTGTGAGAATAAGTATTGTTTTGTTTTATTTTAAAGCCTCCACATAGAAGATGGGGCTTTAATTTCTTTTTAAGAGTCCCATGTTGATTCAGGCAAGGCACTACCATTAATAAAACCACATCCTAATGTTTCATTGGTATTGCAAGTCTCCACAGTCCTCACCCAAAAAAACATTTCTTTGATTCCAGTGGGACTTTTTTCCTGTGCAAATGCTACAGGCTTCTGTATTTTATTGAGTGAAAGGGGTGGGGATACTTGTTATACACCTAAATGTTCATCACTTTGCCAACAAAGGTCCGTATAGTCAAAGCTATGGTTTTTCTGGTAGTCGTACAGATGTGAGAGCTGGATCATAAAGAAAGCTGAGCGCTGAAGAATTGATGCTTTCGAATTGTGGTGCTGGAGAAGACTCTTGAGAGTCCCTTGGACTGCAAGGAGATCAAACCAGTCCATCCTAAAGGAAGTCAACCGTGAGGGATTGATGTTGAAGCTGAAGCTCAATGCTTTGGCCACCTGATGCAAAGAGCCAACTCATTGGAAAAGACCCTGATGCTGGGAAAGATTGAAGACAGGAGGAGAAGGGGACAATAGAGGATGAGATGGATGGATGGCATCACTGACTCAATGAACATGAGTTTGAGCAAACTCTGGAAGAAGGACAGGGAAGCCTGGCCTGCTGCAGTTCATGGGGTTGCAGAGAGTCAGACACAACTTAGCACTTTCTACAAAACAGAGTACAAATGTCATTTTTCAGGAATACTTTACTCACACTAATCAGTAAGAATTTATTTTTTTCAGCTTTTGTTTCTACTCACAAATTATGCCTATATTGTTCTATTTTTCGCATCTCTGGCTTCTTACCTGTACTATGCATATCTCACCTGTTTCCTCCATTGACTCTAGCCACTTCAAAGATTGAATCTTGTTAACTGTCACAGTAATTGTTGTAATTTATTCATTCCTCATTTATTGAGCACCCACAGTGGCTAAGTACTATGAGGCTAGAATCCTTCCCCTGAAAGTCATAGGTTCTATTTCCACCCAATAAAGCATAAGGAGTAGATTAAATAATGTTATGGTAGGTGTTTTCCTGAAATCTGAAATTGTTTTTGCTTGTGTCACATTCTCTGTTTTGCCAAAGCCAATCCCTGCCCTTACTTTGCTTCTTTAAGTTGAAATTTAAGAGATAAAAAAGAATTCAAGAACACAGAACTTTACAATTCAAAAACAGTCACAAGTTTTCATTTAAACTCCAATGGGTCTTTTTGCTTTCTCTCTCTCCATAGGATAGTGGCCAGAGCATCCAAGAACCTCATGTCCACTCAAAGCCTAGGGATTGTGTTTGGACCCACCCTTCTGCGAGCAGAAAACGAGTCGGGGAACATGGCGGTGCATATGGTGTACCAGAACCAGATCGCCGAGCTGATGCTGAGCGAGTACGACAGGATCTTCAGCTGACTGACAGACACGGCGAGCTACTGAGTGCGCGCACATCTGTCTCGATGCCTAATATTTTTACATTTCTGTAAACATATTTCTGAAATATTTTTTTCCTTTCAAGCGACAGATGCCTCATTTTGTGAAAACTTAATGATGATTTTGTGTTTAAGTTCCAAACATTTGAATAAAATAGTTGACAATATTTGCCTATATGTCTTCTACATTAACCCCTTCACTGCTATGCCTTCCAGCACTTCTAGGCATACATTATGGATGCTGTATGCTGTCAAATAGTGCGCAGAGGACACGGCATATCCAAAAATAGCCTTCATGAGGCTCTTGGGCATTGCACGTGCGCTTGTGTATGTGCAGATATGTGAGAGAGTGTGATTGTGACTGAGAGCACAAGTATGTGTTCACACAGGTGAGCCTCTTCATTACCCTGGCCGCCTCAGGCCTGTGCTCAAACACCCCCGGGTACACTGCAGAACTAAAAGAGTGGCCAAGACACAAACGAATAATTTTTAAACAGAACAAAAGAAATCAGGATTTCAACCAAAATAGACATACCTCATCTTTCAAGAACACTTTTGTAAGTGTATATCTAGTCCAGCCATCCTTGGTGCTGGATGCTGAAATTTACAAATACATGTAAAATGGCAATTTTTCTGAAGACAAATGACAGTTCAAAACATTTACCATTGGATATGTTTTTTACATATACTATTTGCAGTCCCATAAACATACTGTCTTATAAACTAGAAGCAAAATTAGTGCCTTGCAATTTTGATCTTTATATTATACAGGAACTGCATGCCTGCTCATTTTTAATGCTAACATCCATTTTGAATCTTCATCAAACTGTATATCTTCCTTTTTTTCCCTAGCTATGTCATTTTATGTAGAATTTTTATTATGCTTCTGAGGATGCTTTATTGGTGAATTACATTAAATCCATCTAGAAAGAACTTTTTTTTAAAAGGTTTTTTTTTTTTTAATATGCCCCAAAGATTACTTGACTAGACTTGGATGGCTTTATCCATTTGATGGTTAGCTTCAGTTGTCATGGATAAACAAAAGGGTAACTGTCTAGAATATATCAAACATTGTTTTATTTTGGAAACTATGTTCTAGCTGAACACATCTCATACTGGTTTTGTGAAAGTATTCTGCTGATAAAAATGTAGACTTATGTTTGACAGCTTTTTAATCAAA